CTCTCCAGCCTCAGAATTCATCATTCTTAAAACTGTTTTACCAAATGAAATTGTAATGAAACACAAACCTGATGCATACTAGGCAAGTGCTACCTTCCAGTAAGCGATGTCCTTCAATTTTTTCAGAAAATAGAAATAAGTATTTTGAGAGCCAAATATGGTAGCTTATACTTTTCACACTAGCACTTGGGAGGCTGAGACAGAAGGATCAAGAAATCAAGCAAATTCACGGTCAGCATGGGCTACATGAGACCCTATCTCTAAAAGGGCAAAACAAAACAAAAATACTAAAAGACAACTTCAAGTTCTTCAAACAAGTTGGCATGGGATACAAAAGCAACCCTAAAGCTCTAAGCCACGTGTCAGCCTTTTTATTTCTCTTCTTATCTCAAATATATGAACACAGAACAAATTCCTAGAAAGTTATAGACACATTTTAAATTCCAATAAACAATGCCAAATTTACCTCCAAGAAAGTTCCCATTCCAGACAACGGTGTGCAAGGTTTTCAGTTTTCCCACATCGTACTGGCAAGGACTGACTTAAGATGTCAGTCTTACTGGTAAAGGAGTAGTAAATGATGTTTCCTTTTATATTTAAATGTTTAACTGCTGAATTTAAAGCTCAGGTGGATTTTACAACAATAGCTGTAGACTAAGATAAACTGCTTAAAGGAAAAAAGTCAAGTGTCACATTAACAGTGAGACTGAGGAGGCTGGTGTCACTGGTGTCACTGGTCCAGCTAAGAATTTCGGCACAACCACAAATGACGTAGATGTGTCATTAAGGCATACATTTTGCCTTTCACTTGAAATGTAATGACGAGCTCATTAGGCTCTGCCATACATTTGGAACATTTAAGAGAAGGTTTAGTGCTGGGTAGTGGCGGTGCACACCTTTGATCCCAGAACTTGAGAGGCAGAGGTAGGCAGATCTCTGTGAATTCGAGACCAGCCTAATCGTGAATGCCAGGACGGTTACAGAGAAATCCTTTCTTTAAAAAAAACAACCAACCAAAGAGTACATTTGGTTCTATAGTCATAGTCATGTATTCACTTTCCTGTCTTCATGCACTGATTTATATTTGCCACTCTGACAACAGACCGCAGGCCTTCCCCGTGTTAGGGAAGTGCTGAACTACACCAATCCAGCCTTTACCTCTCTTCTTTACTGATAATATCTCTCTGATGAATAAATTTTGATGACATCTCCTATAGTGTTGCTAATGAATCTTTTCTAGATGTTATAAAGTATAAACATGCAATTAGTGTCTAACCATGAGTATCCAATAAAATTCAGATATAGGTAGCTGTAATGAACATAAAAAAGAACAGAAAAGTAAATGTTGGAGCCAGTAAACATGGCT